AAGAAAAAAAAAAGCAAGAAAACTCAGTTTTCACATTTTTCACTATCAGTGTTAGTTTGTGTTCCTCATGCACAAGTTTGAACAGCTCCTAAAGTTACTGCTATACTCTAGACTCTGACGTTAGACCAAGTGTGCCGCATAGGGATGGGCATACCGTTCCTGAAGTATCGATATATCGATACTGTCGTGAGTATCGACAGTATCGATACTCAAACAAAAATTATCGATAATAAGGTGTGTTTTATATCCCAGTGATTTTGTTTATTTAACAGAAAATTAATGCGTACAATATGCATTGAATTGGACGAATAACGTATGTTAGAGAATAACTGTGTATGAAACTATTTTCCTGCTCATCTAAACACATTCAAATGTTACAAGACAGAACCAATCAATCACAGAGAGTGTTCACTCACTTTTGACAGTGCATTCAAACAGGGCTGTGTTTCCCAAAAAATCAAAAGAAAGCTGATGCTTTTGGAAACGACAGCCCAGAACAATGCTTATCAGAGGACAGAAAAAAACATATATGTTTGAGTTATTTCACAATAAACAAATTGAAATTATAGCATACATAGTTTGTGCAATTACATTTATTTAAATTGAATGTTGAAAGATAATATTGATCATGTTCTATTCTGTAATGTTAATATCAAAAATTATCGATAATAAGGTGTGTTTTATATCCCAGTGATTTTGTTTATTTAACAGAAAATTAATGCGTACAATATGCATTGAATTGGACGAATAACGTATGTTAGAGAATAACTGTGTATGAAACTATTTTCCTGCTCATCTAAACACATTCAAATGTTACAAGACAGAACCAATCAATCACAGAGAGTGTTCACTCACTTTTGACAGTGCATTCAAACAGGGCTGTGTTTCCCAAAAAATCAAAAGAAAGCTGATGCTTTTGGAAACGACAGCCCAGAACAATGCTTATCAGAGGACAGAAAAAAACATATATGTTTGAGTTATTTCACAATAAACAAATTGAAATTATAGCATACATAGTTTGTGCAATTACATTTATTTAAATTGAATGTTGAAAGATAATATTGATCATGTTCTATTCTGTAATGTTAATATAAATCATACACTGTCAGAATAAAAAGGTTGCATTTTATGCATGCCACAGCCAGTCACTGGCAGTCCCTTACTAAAGTGACCATAGTTCAACTGTAGTATTTGTAGATTTGAATAATTTGATTTGAATTAAAATGTGTTTCAAATATAAAGTTAAGTGGTTTTTATTACCCATTTTACTCTTAGTAATTTAATAATTAAAAAAATTGAATCATTCAAAAGTTTAGTTTAGAAGTATCGTATCGGTATCGGTATTGATATCGACGATACTTGCCTTGAAAAGTATGGATATCATATCGAAAACAAAATAAGTGGTATCGCCCATCCTACTGCACAAGTTTTGAAAAGTGAAGCCAGAACTTTTCAATCGCCCCCAGGTGACTGGATGCAGTATAGGTCATAAACCCTGCCCTCTCCATGTAATCTAAAGGGACGTCAGACAAATAATCGAATTACACTTCAAATAATTTTTTTTCCAAAGATGTTTTCTGTCATTTTAGGTAGTTCTTAGCATGCTCCCAGCAAACACATTTATGCTGTGGCAATGTCTGTGCAACATACCATTTTTATAAAGGCAACTTCGCCATCTACGTGCTTGCAACATTGTAACAACGTAGAAATGTAAGACAAGAAAGGGCTGTATCAACGTTGTTTACGCGACATTCAGCAACCGTGAGGTGCCATTTTTACTACATGTATTTTTTATGCCAGATTATAAATAGTGCCTTTTCTGGGTGTTATATCAAACACGGGATAAGTATATAATACTTTTAAATATATTTAGTTATTCATTAATAATGTTCTTTTTAACTTAACATCTGCTTGTGTAAACTTTAAAGAGTAAGAAATGCCATAAAAAATCATATAATCAAACTTTATTTCATACTAAAACATTTCATACATACAATGGATTTCTAAGTAGTCTATAAGTTACCAAAAGGTAGCCTATTCATTTGAAAAAAAAATTTTATATAGAGTATATTAAGTAAATATATTAAGTCATGTAGTTTAAGTATATTCAATTTAAAATAAAAAAGCAAAGGCAGTTGAGAATGTTTATTAAACAAAAGAAAAGCAACTGAAACAGCGGCCACCGGCCGATGAGGCGGAGTCTGGACGGGAGAATACGGTGGACAATGGAGCACAGTCAAAGGCCTGGCGAGATGGTCGGTAGCGAGAAAACAGTCCGAGAAAGATCCACAAATCCAGAGAGCAGAGGCAAATGCAAAATCCAGTAGGCAGGCACAAGTCAACACCAGGCATCAATCCAGTAACACGGATGCGCGGCAGGCACATGTAAAACTGGGCAGAGAACAAGAAAGATCAGATCACAGCAGAGCCTGACATGACAGGACAGAACTTCACAGGAACTGACCAGTGACTAGCGTGAGCAGACACGAGAGTAAGGATATCTGAATTCTGAAAGAATTACAACTAGCATTTTAGACCAAACCAGATCGCAAACACCCTGTATATATAAATTATAGTGTATTCTGTTCTTTCAGTTTATTAACAGAACAAATTATTGTCACATTAGATGGAACGTTTGTTTGAATATTTACGTAGCCTATCATATTCAGCTTGGAGAAATAAAAAGCAAAACTCGCGTATCTTCGATCGATGAAGAATGAGAAGGACCAACTCTCGGTTTAAATTTAAAAGGCTGTTATTCGATGATGACAGGTACATGTTATACAGTGGTTGTCCAGGCAGCCTAAGCACAACTTTAAGCTACGACCCTGAATGATGGTTAAATGTCAACATTGTGACAGCGTTGTAACAACCTTCACCAACAACGTAGATCCCTCAACCTTTTAGCAATGTTGGCACAACGTTGTTAGAAGGTTGCTACGTTGAGGCAACGTTCTGTGTTTGTTGGGCTGATGTATGTTCAAGTGTTAATTTTTCTAATACTTTTGCTTTTAATTAGTTATTTGATGCTATAAAAACGGGGTGTGGTGTCATGATTGTGAGCTCATGAGTTTGGGCGGGACTTTGATTCCGCGGCTCCACCTCACAATCACTACTGCGCAGACTCGGGCTCCAAATTATGTCATTTTCGCAAGATGACAGCCGCCATACTGAGAATGATTTGGCTTCACTTTTCTATAGTGGAAGGAAGTGAAGATGCTTCGTCCTTCTTTTTTGCAGTCTATGCTTGAGACCACATCAACAGATCTAAGCAACACATTAAGACATAAAATCTAAAGAACACCCATTTAATGAATCAAATGTGATGTGATAAACTCAGATGTGAAGCTGTATTATCTTCATTTTCTGATCCAGATTAATCTTCATTCAAACATCTCTTACTGTGAGTGGAAACACAATGAAACTTCAAGCATACCGAGAAGAGAGGAAGTCAGAGCTGGGCTTCTCTGATAGGCCTTCTTTAGCCTTCTTAGCCATTTTTAGCCCTGTAACCTGATATAACAAAGAGTGAAAAATTTAAAGGGGTCTGAATACTTTCCGTACCCACTGTATATGTTTATTTTCACTCAGCTCTACTGATTATTTCTAAAACTGTTTAAAATACAAAAAATATGTAAATGACGATGCAAAAATGATAAAACTTTCAATTATTTTGAAAATCCTATGCATAATTCTAAGATCTTAACCCATTTGTGCTCAAATTTTTTCTGTCATAATATAGTCATGTTAATAGTGTCCTTATGTGAACAAGTTCTGCATTTATTTTCCCAAGGTTTTTTTTCTTTTTTTCTTGAAAATCGTATTTGAATGTGCGACAACTATAGTTGCTGGTGGGCAAATATGTTGTATGCACCCCTTCAATGTCAAATTTGAATAGGAGGAGAGCATTTGGCATCTTACATCGTGTCTACACCGGACGCGACAGTTGTCGCTCCACGCCGTAACAGCTAAAGTCTGTCTAGTACACTGGACGTGACAAAGCAACCATTGAAAATCATTTGAAATTTGTGTCAATATGTCATAAATAGAATGCAGCAGCAGTTTTCTGTCGGGGATTTGTCGTGTCACGCTGTGCCGCATCCAGTGTAGACAGCATCACTGATTATAATGAGTTCTATAGTATTTTGTCACGCCACGCCGCTCACGTCCGGTGTAGACACTGTGTAACTCAAAATAACTGCTTTCAACAGATCAATCTTTATTCATAAACAAATTTATTATGCATAAAAGTCGAAGAACATTCGATGCAAACCCAAAAAAGTTGCATCTAGCTTATAATCTCTTGAATATGAAAACACAACAAATCAATTTGTTTTAAAGTGGTGGAACATAGTGCAGAACAAAATGCAGCCATTAAGTTGCCCCAACGGGGTATTGTGTATCAAAAAGTTAAATGAAAATAAATAAATAAAATAAATAGAATACTTATTAGTAACATGAAAATTAAATTTCTTTGGGAGGGTTTGCCTCCGCCATGCTTCCAGCCTCATGTGACAGGAAGGAAGTGAATACCTTTTTTTGTTTCTAGAAATCATTTATTTGGTTGTTTGCTTGCTTGTCATTGAGAAATAAAACATGGATAACATCTAGAAAAATACTTACAAAAGGAAAATGACAACTATAAACTGCGGCAACTATAGTTGCCGTGGGTTTAAACTGATTGATTTCAGTGCTTACATTTGATGAAAATATAGCAATTCAGTGCATTCAGAAATTATTCAGACTCCTTAATTTCTTTCACATTTTTTTATATCATATAATGTATGTAGCAGCCTTACGCTAAAATTCTTTATAATATGTACTGTACTCTATGGATAATGACAAGCCAAGTTAATTTCTGCCACCTACTGGAGTGTGAAGTGACAGTGTTAGATTGTAGCTATATGCAATATTTGAGAGGCCTAAATGCTAAATGTGAAAAATAAATAAATAAATATGATTAAAAAAAATACAAAATAAACTTATGTATCGGTATCATTGGATAAAGATAAATAATAGGCTAAATGATAACATTCAAAATGGCTTGAGACTATGATAGATGAGCTCAAATAATACTAATAATGCTCCACAGATTAAGATATTAAGACTTTTCAAAGAATATTAAGACTTTCTAAAGAAAAGCTAAAAATTAGTGTACAAAATCACCGTACAATACAATGTCTAAAATGGAAATGTCTCTGTGTTTCCTGACCTGATGATTTAAATTGGGCATAGAAACACTGAAGAATCAGGATATAGCCTAAATCCAGCATAGAGGGGTTCAGTGAATGTGGTGTTGAATGTGTATATGTGCGTGATAGTGTGCGCATTAGAGACACTGTAGAAGGACAGAATGCCAGCCGACCAGTCCAGATACACTCCTACTCTATTAGATGGGGATGAAGATAGAGGAATGTTTGTGCTCACATTATTGTGCCAGGCAGTATGAATCCTATCAGAAAAGTAAAGACACCAGGACTTTTCATTGAGTCCAAACCGACAGTCAATCCCACCCTTCCGGTTGATTTCCTTATATGTCACTGCTACATGGCCCCGTATGATCAATTCAGCCTCCCAGTAACAGCGTCCAGTTAAACACTCTTGACACAGAACCTGTTCAAGGCTCTTAAATCTCTCTGGATGATCAGGATACGGCTGCTGCTCTTTCACATATGATGTTGTTTTGTTTTCTTTAGAGATAGTGAGTTGAGTGTGTGCTGTTTTTGGATCCAATGTGAGATCACATGCATCTGGACACAGAAAAACAGATCAGAACATCTATGACATCAATAAATATGCACAGGTGTGTCTGTGTGTGTGAGGGCTTACATTTTCGCAGTCCTGGTGTGATCCTGAAATCTCCTCCATGGTCCAAACTAATAGAGACACAAACATACACACAAACAATGTTCAACGAACTGATAACTGATGTCCAATTAAATGGTTTTACTATTGTGTAAAAAAAAAAAAATATATATATATATATATATATATATATATATATATATATATATATATACCAGTAACGGTTTGGGGAAAGTTATTTAAATTCTGCATTTGACACTGGTAGATAAATCTGTGACGAGTGGGGGTGGGGGTGGGGCCGAGAGCCGTGGGAACGGAGCGAGGCCGGTGGAGTAATTGATAATGAGCGACACCTGCACCACTCACCGGTCTCGAGTCTCACGGAGGAGCTCCGGAAGGATAAAAGGGAGGAGTGACGACAGTGTTGGATGAGAGAGGACCAGGCCTGGATTTTCTTTTGTGTTTTGGTTCTGTTTGTGCGCGACAGTCATCCGCGAGGGGCTGTCGCGCTATTTTGTTTATTTTATTATTAAAGTCTTTAAACATTCGCCGGTTCCCGTCTCCTTCTTCCCATGACTACGAACTGTGTTACAAAATAATTTCTAGATTTTTTTATATCTAACTTGATCTTAATTTAACAGGCCTCAGCAGTCCCTTAACTGCCTCAGAATATGATATAACAGTGGGAGAAATTAATTATTGCTCAATTTCAAACCTTGTGCTTGCACCAGTTCAAGGTATTGCAAGCACACATGTGAACATGAACATGATGAATATGCTCCTGAACACTAAATAGCTCGTTCTAACACGCCCCCACATATCTACGTCACGATGTGGGAAGATTTGCATAATGCCGCCCAAATGTTCACGCAAAGAAAGAAGACGTAACTTTTATTCTCGCTGTAGTATTGTTGTTGCCGCCGCCGCCATGTTGTGAAGGTGAAGCAGAGTCCAGCCCGGGGTCGTCACATGTGGTTGCCGCAAGTCCTCCGGATGCTCCTTCGTTGAATCCGCTGGCCGCCGCTCACTCTAACCCGCCGTGTGTGACGCTGTGGGTTTCGTTGTGAAAGTGAAACTACTTTGTTTGGCCTTCCAAAAGAGGACACGACTAGAAATCAGTGGTTAAGTTGTATTTACAGCACTATTCCAGAACAGTTTAACCCAAATATTCAGATGTGTGCAGCGCATTTTATGGACTGTTTCCTGATCCTGAGAGAGTAGCCTACAATGCTGGTGCTTCTGTCTCACAGTCTGTAAGTAAATTTTTTATATTTAAAGAATTTGCCACTGACGATTCAAACGCGAGTTTTGAGCAGTGTAGAGTAGGGCTTGTTGTTTGTCATTTCTCCGATCACAAATGCAAACATGGTTTTATGCAACGCAACGCGTAAAAAGACAGTATTAGTCATTATAATCTGTAATTATGTCCCCACTGGATGCAACAAATGCCTCGTTTATAATGGGTTTTAATGTTTTTGTCTCGGCGCTCCGGCCGGACAGGGCATCACAGTATGGTAGGGGCGTAACATTTCTATCACACGCTTGAGGTATTCGGCCAATCACAACGCGTCTCCCACAAAAGGATTTATTCTATCTAAAAGAGAAGGCTGATCCAGACCGGGCTATAACGCCTCATTCAAACACGCCCCCACATGTCTACTTCACGATGTAGAAATATTTGCGTAATGCCACCCAAATGTTCATGCAAAGAAAGAAGGCGTGGTTTCATGAACTGCAGTAGTGTTGATGCAGCCATGTCAGGGAGACGCTGTGTGTTTCTGTGCGAAAGCAAAAGCACTTTATTTGACCTTCCGAAAGTGGATGCAATGAGGAATCATTGGTTAAGATTTATTTATATACAGTATCTCACAGAAGTGAGTACACCCCTCACATTTTTTTTTGTGGCCAGCGGTTTAGACATTAATGGCTGTGTGTTGAGTTATTTTAAGGGGACAGCAAATTTACACTGTTATACAAGCTGTACACTCACTACTTTACATTGTAGCAAAGTGTCATTTCTTCAGTGTTGTCACATGAAAAGTTGATGGGGTGTACTCACTTCTGTGAGATGCTGTATAACAGAACAGCACAACCCAGATGTTCGAATTTGAGCAACACATTTTATGGACGACAGTTTTGTGAACCTAGGAGAGTAGCCTACAAGGCTGGCTGTGCAAAGGCTATTTCTAAAAAAAAAATGGGTCAGTTTCGACTTTGCTATGACAATCTGGCGCTTATTCTGAATCAGCTACTGTAAGTATGTTTTCTTAATAGTTTAAGTATTTGCTATTGACTGTTCAAATGTGGAGTTTTGCGCCGTGTAGAGTATCAAGTCATGTGTGTGTGTGTGTGCGTGAGAGAGATGTGTGTGTGTGTGTGCGTGAGAGAGAGAGAGACAGGGTCACATCACAGTGGAGTCAGCTTTCTTAATCGCGGCTTGTGTACCGCGAATATAAACGAGCATCACCACTGTGTCTGTCACGCGACTCTGTTCCCCTTTCGGGCTTGAACTGATGGTAAAACTAAGGACATTATTTACTGTCTTTACATTTATGTTGAAAGCTAAAGCTCACGATTATGGAAAGGGGCATTCAATTTCCGACGTGTGCTTGCGGTGTTTGGCGTTTGACGTTTGATAGAGGAACTACAATAATGTACAGTATTTGAAAAATAATGTTTTTTGAACATTAAAGCATGTCAACATATTCTGTTACACCTAATACACAAAATAATGATCTTTAAAATAGCATCATATGACCCCTTTAAATACATCTTAATGCTCTTTTAGATATTGAGTCTTAACAAACATTTATTTAGGCAACTCTGATTACCCACCAAAAAACACTAATGAAACAATGAGAATTGTAATTGTATCACTGTAATGTCCAAAAAATGCCTAAATTTATAAATAGATGATTCTGTATTCAGTAGGATAATAGTTGGAGCTTAACATTTTCAGAGAGAAACAGAACCAAAAAACAACAACAAAAAAAACTCTTAGGTGATTCCCATCCCGAATAGAGACACATATTTATTAGTCATAATTGTCTCACATACTTGAGTTTCTCTAGTGCACAGTTTAGATCCTCCAGTTTGTGGTTGAGCAGCTGGACTCCTGATTGTCCTGGGTGATTGTAGCTCAGATCCAGCTCTCTCAGGTGTGAGGGGTTTGAACTCAGAGCTGAAGACAAATATCCACAGCCTTCCTCTGTCACCATACAGCCAGACAACCTACAGATACACATAGTGTTTTGAAATACATTTGTGTATCTGATTAGAATAGCAGGACAGAGCAGCATGTGTCCACTGAGTGGAATAGCCAGGCTAAGTTTCATGTGTATCAATAATAAAATTCACAATCAGACAATGCAGAAACCGGTTGGTGACAAGAAATGTTGCAGCTAAATCTAATTGTCACATTACCTTCCTCTTCTGTACAAACACTTACAATTTTAAAGGGCCAAATATACAAATAATAAATGGGGTGGAAATGTGAAAATTTGAAAGAAACAACAATTAACCCTCCTGATACCCTAAAATCTGGCAACTCAATTTGACTCCAGCAGTTTAAACCTCCAGAATATGATTTTTTTTATTAAAAGGTTTGTGTCAGGTTATTTATGTCTTTGCTGACTACTTAAATAGGCCTTTGAATATACCCTGGCCCTTATACATCCAGAATACCTATTGCATGACTACGGACAAATCACCATACAATCTCACTGACTGTAATAATTGTTATATACTATTTATAAGTATATATTTTTGTAATTTATAACATTTGAAAAGAATAACAATTTATTTGATCAAGGATAGGAACACAAATTCACCTATGAACACCCATGAAAAGTAAACGTGAGCATTGTTCAGGAACAGTTTTATGGGACTGTAAGTGCTTTTTATGCAAATATATGAGTTTGACAGAATGCAAACAGCATAGACAGAATATGAACAGCATTTTCCCCCCTACAGCCCACCAGAAGGTACATTCCAGGTTTTGTCTGCACTACTTTGCTGTATGATGTGAAAAAAAATTATCACATGTAATGTTATGGCCATTCAGTCCCTCAGCCATGTCTATAGTAACACCCTCATGCCCTGATTTTTTTCAGATGCTTGTCCAGGAGATTTACCAGTGTCCACCTGCATATTCCAGGCATAGATGGACTGTGCATCACATGCGGCCCATATTTTTTATGCCATATTTGTCTGGTTTGCTTGGCATGTATTGTTTGAAGGGACAACAGTCATGAAATGCAACCAGACATTCATCCACAGTGATGTGGGGGCCTGGATTGTAAAGATAGGGTAATTGGTGGACTCACTTGTCCCATACATCCCTTGTTGCAGCAAGTTTGTCATGCTGTCGTCGGCTCTGTTGTGTTTCTTTGTCATCAAAGTCTTTAGAGACATGGTGGCTGGAAATATTGACCTTCCAGTGTCAGCATTCCAAAGGCTTGCTGTTGCTTCTTCTTTTGACTTGTACACTCCTGCCACAATGAGTAACCCAATATAGGCTTGCAAGTCAGTCACATAAAAATCCCCATACTCCCTCCTCCCCTCTAAGTTTGTCCTTTCAAGTATATTCTTTTCAATTGATAGTGTAATGAAAAGCTCAAATGCTGATTTTATATCTTAGACATGGCTGAGAGCATATCTGGTGGGCCCTGGAACCATTTTGATGATATTAGAAGCGCTAAGCTTACCCTGTCATTCAAGTGGGGAGTAGGACCATAATAACTTTCCATTTTTGGAAGGTAATGTGTCTGCTGGTGGTTGAGAGACAACTGGAGGGTCAACACTAGGAGTCTTATTCTCATCTGAGGTGGATGCCTCATAATCTGGGTCCTCATCAACATTATCGTCTGTCTCAGACACATTCTCTTGTCACTTTTACTGTCAAAATACTGTGACAAAATCTCATTGACAGAAAACCTTTGCCTAGAGGCCATTTTCAATAGAGAGAGAGCATAAAGAAAGAGCACAGAGCACAAAGAGAAATGGTTTTGAATGCTTCTGTGTAAGCTTTTATATGTTTGTTTCTCCCCTGTAAACCACGAGAATTATGGTTTTTATATATTATGTAAGGGATAATGTTCATCCAGCCGGTTGTTATCCCAGAATAAACCCTGACAGGGTGATCAGGACTTGTGATCAGGTCTTGTATCAGCCTGAAGGGGTTTATTCTGAGATAACAACTGGCTGGATGTACATTATCCCGCTTATTACACGGCTAAAAAGATTTGTTCTTACCATATATGTTGAAATTAATGCTGAAGTCTTCCATTGTAACATGCTGTGGTTAAGTGTTTTCAGTCACAAAATGGCGCCAGACAGTCAACGATAGCGGAGTGACTCGTTAAGCATATAAGTAGTACCGGTCAAGATAAATCGTAGTACCCGGATGAGCGGTGTGTTATTCAATTTGGCGGTTGTTATCTGGGAATAACATACCGCTGGATGGCGCGATTGACCAATCAGAATCAAGTATTCCACAGAGCCGTGTAATAAGAATATATAAAATTATAGTGAATATTATAAAATTATAGCATGCTATAGTGACCTCAATATCACCCAAAACAAATGTGTGTAAAATTTTTATATTTCTTATGTTTTATACAGCTAAAAAAGCCTGGGGTCAAATTGACCCCAAAGAACACCGTTGCTACAAAATGTGTAGAGGACACTGGAAAAATATCAACATATTAATTTTATGTTTACTGAGTTGTCCCCATTAAATTAGGAAAAGTCATTAAATCTGGATAAAAATAAATAAAAAATGATGTCAATCATGTATTTACAGACGTTAAACATTGAATGGGGTCAAATTGACCCCTCGGATAATAGGAGGGTTAAGTAAAACATTAATGAATTGATTTCCATTCATTCATTAGAATTATTATAAACTTCATTTTCAAGTTTTTATAAATCACTGATGTTCTTACACACCTCAGTATTTCCAGCTGACAGTTTGGACTCTTCAGTCCATCAGAGAGCAGCTTCACTCCTGAATCACGCAGGTCATTGTTACTTAGATCCAGCTCTCTACAATTTGAGGATTGTAGAGCTGATGATACAATTTCACAATGCTGAGCAGTGAGATTACAACCAGCAAGACTGAAAGACAGTAAAAAAAAATAATTTTTTTATCAGTTTTGAAAGCTAGAAATAGTCAGTAATGGTTACTGTATTCTCATACAGCATCTCTAAATTTAGGGATGGGGTGACTCGTCATTAGGAATTTTTTTTTATATATATAAAATGGACTGATATTAAATTGAGCTCTCTATAAATCCAGTCCTGATTAAATTGTATTTCCACACACATCAATAGTGTATGTCACAACAGCAACATTTGAGTAGTTGGTGCAATGAGTGAAAATGTCAGAATTCTCTGAGCCAATTTTGGTACCACAGCATAAACTACTCACTCACTTTAACTATTTCAATAATTTAAGTAATTGAAAATAAAATAATAATAATTATTATTATTATTAATGCTACAATTATTGCATATAGCATTCAAATATTTTTTTGAATTAGTCTATTAATCTACATTTACAATGAAAGACATAATTCGGAGATTTAATTTGAAATGATTTGTCCTATCTGTTGCTACAGCTATCACTGTCAATAATCACAATTTTGACAATTCAGCAGCAAGAAAAACTAATTTTTTAGTCAGTTTGTGAATGGGACATATACAGAAAGTGAGCAAAGGATGGTCTCTTTATAATCATTGAAGCTTTCCGATGTCAATCTGTACTAGTGGAAGAAAAGAGTGCAGGAATCTTTCCATCTTGTATTGTTTAATTTTCGTGTTTTAAGTTCAGTATTGGCTTGGTATCAAAGTATAGATACTTCTGACTTCTGACAACACTCTCCCATTTATCATAAAAATAGTATGTCAATATAAACAAATTTACTCACAGAGCTTTATTGCAGTTGCTCACAGCTAGTATCAGTCTTCTTCTACCCTCATCTGATGTGTTGTATTTTTTGAGGTCCAGCTCATCCAGCGGCTCTTCTGATATCTGAAGCATGTAGGAGATTGTTGAGCAGTGAGCAGGAGAGAGTTTCTTCTCTGAGTGTTTGTCTGATTTTACAAACACCTGAATCTCTCTGGACAGAGTCTGATCTTTCACTTCCAGCAGACAGAGGAACAGATTGATGGATCTTTCAGTGGAGAGTCCATGTCCATCTTTGATCTTCTCTTTAATGTACTGTGTGGTTCTCCTGATGCTATCTGAGCTGTTCTCCTTGTGTGTCAGTAAATACTGTAAGAGTCGCTGATTGGACTCCAGTGGGACGGCCAGCAGGAACCGCAGGAACAGATCCAGGTGGCCATTCTCACTCTCAAGAGCTTTATCTACAGCACCTTTAAGCAAATTTTGTACTGAAGCAAAATTCTTCAGTTCTTCCATAGTTGTATTCACATGGTAGTAGAACACGTGGAAAGCAGCGAGAAACTCCTGAACACTCAGATGAATAAAACTGTAGATTTTCTTTTGATTAATGGCAGATTCCTCCTTAAAGATCTGAGTGCAAATCCCCAAATCCACTGAGTCTGTGACATCTAAGCCGCTCTCAGTCAGGTCCTCCTCATAGAACATCACATTGCCCTTCATCAGCTGTTTGAAAGCCACTTCAGCAAGTTTCACAATCACTTCTCTGTTGGACTGCAGGAGTTTCTCTGGATCTCTCTCTTCATACTTCTGGTTCCTCATATTGATCTGAATGAGCAGGAAGTGGATGTACATCTCAGTCAGAGTTTGAGGGATTTCTGCACTCAGATCTTCTTCCAGGAGCTTCTGAAGCACAGTGGATGAGATCCAGCAGAAGACTGGGATGTGGCACATGATGTGGAGGCTTCTTGATCTTCTGATGTGTGAGATTATTCTGCTGGCTTGATGCTCGTCACTGATTTTCTTCCTGAAATATTCCTCCTTCTGAGGCTCACTGAATCCCTGAATTTCTGTCAGACGGTTGATGTATTCAGAAGGGATCTGATTGGCTGCTGCTTGTCTGGAGGTGATCCAGATGAGAGCAGAGGGAAACAGATCCCCTCTGATGAGGTTTGACATCAACAGAGCCACTGATGAAGACTCATTCACGTCAGAAACTTTCACACCGTCTGAAAACGTCAGTGTGATTCTGCTTTCATCAAGGCCATCAAAGATGAACACAACTTTACATCCATCATAAATCTTTGAGTCCAGATCTTGAAGTTTAGGATGAAAGTCCAGCAGAAGTCTGTGAAGACTGTACTGGTGATCTTTAATCAAGTTCAGCTCTCGAAATGGAAGCACAAACATGAAATCTACATGCTGATTGGCTTTTCCCTCGGCCCAGTCCAGAATGAACTTGTGCACAGAGACGGTTTTTCCAATTCCAGCGATGCCTTTAGTAAGAACGGTCTTGATTTGCTCTTTCTTCTCAAATCCTGGTTCAGATGAGGCTTTAAAGATGTCATTGCAGTCAATTGGAGTGTCTTGTGACTGTTTTGTTCTGGCTGTTGTCTCCAATTGTAAAACCTCATGTTCTTTATTCACTCCTTCACTCTCTCCCTCTATGATGTAGAGTTGTGTGTAGATCCTGTTCAGGAGGGTTTGATTCCCTTGGAGTGTGTTTCCCTCAAATAAGTGCTCATACTTGTTCTTCATGCTGGTTTTGTGCTGGTCTTTGACTATTTGCAGGTCTGCAGTCTCCATTGTGTGTCTCTGCAGAACTGCTTCAGTGTTGTCCTGCCTGATGCGAGTCTGAAAGTGGGATGCAGAGGATGGTACAGATCTGATCGGCCCACATACCTCCTTCCTGTTGAGAAAATTCAAAATAAAAGAGCAAGGTTTTTTCAAGTTGTGCCCCTTTGCACTGCATATTTTGAAGTGTATTTAGTGTTGTTTCACATTAGCAAGTAAATAGTTACACTAACAGAGGGTCAGGGATCACTGGTCCATCACTGAATACAATGGGATTATCCATGGACCTGCCACTCTTCACAGACACACCACTGGGTTCTGGAGACTCTGATCTGTCCCTCTTCCTTTCTCTGACACTGACAAAATCCAAACAAAACAGCATTTTTTTCATACTTTAAATGGGACATCAGATGAAATGTTCACTTTTTTAGCATTTCATGACTGCCAGCTCAGAAAAGCTGAAAAGAAAACAGGCAGCCAGTTTGTTATGGGCTGTCTGAGCCTGTAACTGTGTCATCCAGTGAGCTGTTTCAATTTTCAGCCTGTTTATACGTAGATAGCTAGCTATCTGAATAAGACCAGCTCTGATCCATATACGGAGTCCAAGGCAGCAATTCACGCGTCTTGACTCAACAAGCCAGAGCTTCACATGACCATTGATGAATTTTAATCAAAATATGTTGCAGACATTTTATGAAAACTCTAAAAAATCATACAAACTTATGGAAAATGGCCATCTGATGTCCTCTTTAAAGGCTTTATTGACACAAAAATGTAATATAATAATAATAATAATAATAATGTCATCTTTTACACACCCTTAAATCTTTCCAAACATGTAAGACTTTTGTTCATTTTTGAAACAAATTTTTAAATATTTTTAATTAAGGCTCAGTGATATCTGTTCCTCCATTTATAGTCCACATCACCCAAACTAAATATCCAAAAATGGTCTTCCAAAAGCCTAAATTAAATCTGTTCATCATATCTCTTCACAAAACTTGGATTAAATCATGCGATTCATATGGATTAGTTTTATGATGCCTTTATGACCCTTTTGGATCTTCAAAATTGTGGTACCATCCAATTCCAATAGAGGGACAGAAATCGCTCAGGTTTTAAATATAATTAGTGTTTTGAAGATGAACGAAAGTCTGACAGGTTTGGAACAGCTCGAGAGTGAATTAATGATGACAGAATTTAAATGGGCTGTTCACACCAAGAACAAAAAGTGTCCCCTACAACAGACTGTAATGTTTTCATGTTCACTTTGAATACCAAATACAGTATGGTTCACCTTAGTTTTCAGGCAATGTTTGGTCAGGACATAGGATCAGCAGATCTTAAACATGTTTAGATTTGTAATCCTACAATATTTATCATTCCCGAGATGAAAAGACCTTTACTGTAAACTTTAGTTAACGTGATTCAAACAACAGAGGAACAGTGAACATTAAGGTTCAGGAAAGTTATGACTCTCTGATGGGATCAAAGCGCTGGTCACACACACTAACTGCAAGGTACTGGAATGCATTGTAGTTACAGACATCTGCCAAATGCAAAAATGGTTTTCGTGTTACCTGGAGTCAGAAGTCACAGTTTCATCACTGAATTCAGAGGGATCATTCCCCATGGGTTGATCATAGCTTGGAGATGAAGAACTCATTTTGCAGTCAATGTCCTCCTACTCTCATTTATCAGAGATTTTATTTCAAACCTTGTGGAAACACAGATAGTACAGATAGAGTACATTGCAGTACAGATACAATAAATTAAGGTTTGATTTTAAACATCATTGTAATCATTTTCAAATAGATGTTTTCGTTATATTCAGGTAGGCTACATGTAGTCTACTAATTTATCACTGTTTATTCAGCTTTTAATATATGTTACAGCAGGGGCGCAATGACAACATGACAGTGTCTCGTTTTCTAGTGTTATATCGTTTCTTGCTGCACATCAGTTCAAATGTGTCCTGGTGGAGAAATATATTCAAACTCACAATTTATGTCAAACCTTTAGCATTTTGTTGACGCCACAATATCAATATATATCAATATATCAATATATCAATATATCAATATATATATATATATATATATATATATACACACACACACACACACACACACACACACACACACGACGGCGTTTAGTCATATTGCATGCTGTATAAAATTAAAACAGATCAGATTAAAAAATGAGCACTTTAATCAATGCTTCAGGCATTTTGGTGTTTAGCTGTCGAAACACAATAAAGACTAAAAACCCAAATAAGCAGCTCATTTTGTAGGACTACATGGTTACATAAAGAATAAGTTCTGAACTTACCATAAAATATGAAATAGGCATATTTAAAAAAAAAATTATAATAAAAAACAAAACGATTATAGCCTCGAAATGGTAGTTTTTTTCACTTGTTTCACTTTCGTTTTTCTAGTGGCGCACATATTAAAAACACAACAACATTCACGCTCCCTCTAGCGGCATACAGTGTCATCTCACTTTGGAATATACAGTATATTTGCATTTTCATGTATTTTTGAATAGGAATGAGAAGAGCCCGTTCACTCGAAATCAAGTGGGAACAGAAACTACATTTCAAAAACTGGATTTATTTGGTCACATTATGGATTGTTACTTCAACAGTCATCTGTATTTTCTACTGATGCACATGCATATCTTAAACCAATGGATTCACAGTGTTTAAACATAACTGTTTAGACACCATTCAGTCAACAATCATTCAGAAAGCAAATTATTATGGTTCTTGCATGAAAAAAAACCCCACTTTCATTGCCACTTCTCTCTGTTTGAATAGGTTTTATTGAATATTCTGTGGTTTTACCTTGTTCGTCTGAGCTGAAGACAACCGAAGGCATTACAATGCACTGGAGACACAATGACAGTTGATTAATCTAACACTAAAATCATTGTCAGGATCATTTCAATCAATATATTATAATAAGAAACACTTACACTACATTAATGAGAATTTTAGGGAGAACTATGCTTAATTGTCAAGAACATAATGTATTCATTTGTGCTTACTCAACCTAATGCTATTGCATTATATTACATGGGTTGCATCCAAACAGCACACAAGCCCTAAATCAACTGATCACAACTAACATAATAATGAAGTCAAAATCAAATGCAACCTAACCATCACAAATAAAGTCATATTTGTCATATGTTATTATTCTCATGTTGTTATTATTGTCTTTGAAATGGGCTATTTAAAAGTAATATAGCTCAAGCAAGTTGTTCAAGCGCCTTTTAAGTGTCCTACAGTGGGCCAATGCTGTCCTCTGGTGGTCACAAGCAGTACTAATACAATGCTTGAGTTTGCAGTCTTTTCAACTTTTGAAAGGTGTCATATAAATGTTGATTTTTCATTTTTTATTTCAGTTATTTTCCCCCTGATGTCCACTTATAAAGTCAAGTTTTATTTATTTATATTTCTTTTTTTCAATGACCAATGTCCACTCTTTTTATTTAGGCTACCTTGGAATTAAACAGGATGTTTTTCCTGCTGTGCCTTCCACATAGTTGTAGTCCTTATCAGGACCTTAAATAGAGCCCGTTGTGTTGTGAACCATTTGAATTTGTATATTTACACCATGATGTTTTTTTTTTTTAAATACGAGGTTAGTCTAAATCCATTTTGTTTCTAGCTCAGCACTGCTCTCTTGTGGTCTGCTCAATTGTGTTTTGACTAATAGAAAACGACAAATGACAGACACAGAACAAGACCAACAGAAAACATGAAAGTAACATGTATTCCTGATTATAGGACAGATTATGGAAACAGTCTCACGTGCATAATTAGGAGTATTTTATATTTACTTGCCCCTAAACATCACATACAGAAAATTGGTGTATAAAAGCAATATCACTCTCTCAGCAGTGACATTGGCATGAATTTCAACACATATGCTTAATTATATGATCATTTCTAAGCTTTAAACTTAAACATTGAGAGAGACACAATCAATTTTATAGTTGAATGTAACATGTCAGTGTTTGGCTTGAGTCAAAACATAACTGTGTAGTGTTTTTGTCCATTTTGTAGCATCATTTTTAAACCATGACATTTGTAGCCATACGTATAGCTCTATCAAGTAACTCACCTATGATCACAATGATCAGAAAAGCATTTATGAAAGCAGATATGAGGACAATCATCTGCCAGTGTGTAAATGGTCAATCACCAGTGATGTGTTTGGTGCAGTAGCTGTATTTCGGAGGAGAGTCTGTGGTCACACAGTAATAAAGTCCTAAATCATCAAGAGAGACATTATTTATGAACACACAGTGTTTACTTTGTACAGAATATTTCTGTTTAAAAGCTTTATTGTAGTGAAAAGCAGCTGAAGTTGTTGAAGAGCGTATCAGGACCAGAGAATCTGGTAGTTTCATTATTTAACCAAATAAACTCCTGTACATCAACAGTTTACAGTCACATTGTGACCCAAATCTGTTAGTTGATTTGTTAAAGTCTCTGCAGCTGGACACCATGTGAGCTGATCTGTGAAATAAACACACACACACACACACACACACACACACACACACAGTACAGTACAGGAGAAAGCGCAGACATAGTGCATAGTGGTGCAAACATTACATGATAGTGCATGATTTTTTTTCTGCTGAAGCATACAGCCATCTCCACTGTTTTGAGCTATTTGGCTCCAGGTGTTTGTGACTGCACCAGACAGACATCTCTGTCCTCCTGTCTGTAAACACACTCATCTTCGTTGTGTATGAGGCAATAGTGTCCAAGAGAGTGTGTTATATTTCAACAGAGGCCAATGATGGTAGTGCATTCAGACACAATTGTCTAAAAATACAATAAATGCGTGCAATGTGCATGCTGGATGATATTTAGGACATTAAACAATGACGTGACAAATCTAAAAAATATATATTAAATCAGGCATTACATGTTGCATCCTCTTATCAAATAAATGCAGTTTCCACTCACCTCTGACTAGCAGTGTTAGTTTGTGTTCCTCATCCACGAGTGGGATAAAACAGGAGAACTGGCCTTCATTGGTGAAATTCAGATGTTGGAGTCTGATGGAGAAGTTTCCATTCACAAACTCAGAGGGAAAACTTTCTGTTCGATCTTTGAACATTGCGTCCTGGCCTTTTGTTGAGAAATTGCCTTGTTCAATATCATAAACAATCTTGCTTTCGTTGTATCTCCAAAACACATTAATTTCTTCTGGGTTTAGCTCTCTTTCCTTGTATGAACACGGCAAGATAACCGAGTCTCCAACAGCACCTTCAATTTCAGCTGGGTCCTGCAGAGACACTGGAGATGAGAGAGAGACAAGCAAACAATAATAAAACAAAGAGAACAGAAAGTCACATCAATAGTTAGCAAATATCTTAACTGAGGTTTATGAATGCTAACCTTTGCTGGTCAGATGAAGAAATAAATAAATGAAGCAGCATCTGTACAAACATAAGGAAAGTTTGATTATACAGCACATTTCATATACAGTTACAATTTTTATTCAAACACATCTTTGTATTAGTATTTTCACTTGCTTACCTGCTGTGAGTTCTCTGTTGGCTCCAGTGTAGATTTATACTCATTGTTGGACTCCACATACTTGGGACTGGATCAAACTCACAGTCCACACTCAAATGTATACCACACATCATACTGCCACACCTATGACAACTTTAAAAAGCTCAAGCACACCTTGCTTTACAGAAGGGCGTGAGAAGGTATGTCCTTTTATGGTTGTGAGAGAGGAGCCATATGTCCAGTAGGAGACTAAGGTGGTGTTTCTATGATCCTACAGACTGTGGAATGATTGTCTCATTTTGTTTAAGTTTGTGTGTGTGTGTGTGTGTGTGTGTGTGTGTGTGTGTGTGTGTGTGTGTGTGTGTGTGTGTGTGTGTGTGTGTGTGTGTGTGTGTGTGTGTGTTAATATTTTCAGTGTCATGCTAGACACCGTTGTGGGTTTTATTGGTGATTCTGCCATTTTACCGTGTTCTTCTAAATAACCTCAGTTTACAGCTGAAGACATTACAGTGCACTGGAGACACTATGACAGTCTGAACATGATGTATGATGTAAAGTTTCTGTGGAAGAGCAGGATTCAGTATGAGAACCGAATCAAAAGCTTTCCTAAGGAATAAAAGACTGGAAACTACTCCCTCAAACTCAACAACCTTCAGTACAATGCTATGGGAAACTACACATGCTACATCACAAATGAATTACTCATTTACAACATGAAGCTGCTTGTCAAAGGTTTAGGAAAAGATTTGATTAAACTGACAATAAAATCCTTGTCAGGTTCTCTTTAATTACACTCTAAAAAATGCTGGGTTAAATATAACCCAGCGCTGGGCTATATTTAACCCAGCATTTTTTAGAGTGTAATATGTTATTGTATTGTACTATTTCTACACTACATTACTGAGAATGTAGGGAGAAATAATTTTGTTTTTACTCAACCTAATGTTAATGTCTTTATTTTCTGTAGATGAAAAACAAACAAACTAGGAGCTCAATCAAGGCCAGAGAAGATGGTAACTTTAGTGCTTTGCTTTTTGACATCATTCTGCTCTGTATTCAAGTAAACTAAAAGGAGAAGCCGTTTGTCTGCT